GCATTTTTTTCCACTGCTAGTCCAGCTGGAAACCATCCTATCTGTTAGGGCTTTGGCTGGCAAGGTTAACAGGACCAAAAGAATCCATGCTCCCATTGACGGTTCTCCGTTCTTGCCGATGAGCTGGTTTGGTGGTCTGCCGTCAGGAGTGGTTCAGGAACCGGAGTTATGGAGAAAATCTCTAACGTTTTGCCAAAGGCTGGGAAATGTTTATGTTAAGTATTTATCTTCAGAAGTAAATTCTGTATGAACAGAAGAGAGTCGCACTTAAAACTGCATGTGTTCCTCACTGTTCCCCACGGAACTGCTGTCATTGCCAGTACTGTAAAGTTACATCAAAGCTTATGAAGTATTACAGCTGTAGGTGTGATCATGGGTGTGCTGAGCATTTGTGGTTGATCTGTCAGGGCATCGAGGAGTAAAGTAACTCAGCATCTTCTCACCTGAGGAATGGTGGACAGATTGGGTTACATCACATATTTCATCTGTTGCACCTATTCTGGACCAGCCGCGCTGCTCTCTCAGGAGAGATTGCTTTGAGCTGTGCAGATCAAAACACTGCAGATGCTACAATTTAGGGAAATTCACAGCTTGCCTGATCCTCTGGGAAAGGGATTCTATGGATGTGGCTTCACCGTACATCAATATGTTGCATCTCGTTTGCTCTTGGATGCCTGCCCAGTAGGGAGCACACCTAAGGATGAGCCCATTTTGCATTCTGTGGGTATTCTGGTGAAAGCACTTCTCCTATAATGAGAAACTACAATGAGGAGGTTCGATCTTTGATCCAACTGCAATAGACCTGGTTCAGAAGAACCATAAACATAGTTCAACTCGCAGAGAGCAGCTAAAAGTGTACACGTGTATATTATTTGTGTGTGTGTGGTGTATGTTTTTACTTATGATTTTTCTTGATCTGTTTCGTCAGGACAAGTAACTTTAGTAATCACACAGTTCACAGAATGCTTTTTATGTGCTTGTCTAAAGTATTCATTTCTAAGTAATCCATAACATTCAATTATTATGATTCATGTCGAAAGCAATGGCTCTCGGGGAGTTTTTGATCAGCAACATCCTGTGAAAAAGCAGTAAACAGGAGCAACAGTTTGTTACTGTACATACACATCTTTGCAAAGTTTCATTATATCAATTACTGTTCAGGTGTCCATCAAGTTAGAGGTAGTGAGTGAACATAGACGTAAGTAAGTGAATAGTGCTGAGGTCCTTTGTTCAACTGGGTTGAGCCAGCCATGTTCCCACTCTGTAAAATTTCTCCTGGGCCTTTTCTAGGCTACCACTTTCCTGTGCACCAGCTGAGTGCCGATATCAGCAAAATGCTTCTGGCCTTTCACTGCTGCCCTATTGCCCTGGGAGATTGTATTGATTTACAGACCAATCTACCCTAACCTTCCTCTGTCTCCCTTGAGGAAAGGGGGCCAATTTCAGGAGTCCCAAATTTTCTGTATTCTTTAAGCACTTTATTGATAAAGGAAATCCACCTCTGAATCCCAGAACTCCGCAGCATTTGTTTACGCTCTCTCTGACAAAACATTTCATTTTCTTTTTACGGACCTAACCATGTATTGGAGATGGAAATGTGGGCCAACAGTTACATGCAAGGTGAGTGCATTCCTCAGAGTTCATCACCTCAGGGCATGGACAGGAAGGCAAATTTACGTTTCCAAGAAAATCTGTATTTTATAATAGGCGAATTACACTTCATGGTGAAATTCAAGCACAGCCCGATTTGCCCTCTGTGCATATTGGGGGAAAATATTGCCCGAAGATGTTTCAATAAATAATTTTTAATATGACCAATGATGTGTGTCAGTACTGCTGACAGGAAGATAGTAATAATGCTCTCATGCTGACAGCATGTGTTGCCTACCAGGAAGCTCGTAGGGAGTTCCTGGCTGGCACCTAACGTCCACCTAGTGAGGGCTCAAACCCGCGCTTGTCGGATGTCAAATGACTAACTAGTAACTATCTTCCTTGGGAGATGGAGGTTAAGTGGATCTCTTTGGAGCTGAACCTTCCTGTACATCAGCTGAGTGGTGACGTATTTGGCAACGGATTGTCAGAATCCAGCCAGCTCTCTGTGGCAGTCATGATAGTCCAGTTCCTGAGTCAGGCGGGTCCATAGTACTCCAGGACACTGCAGATGAAGGGTAGACCAGTCACTGGGCGCAGGGACTCTGCCCACTCATCTTCGTTAACATGCAAGCCAAAGCCTTAATGGGTAGGGTAGTCCAAGCTGGACAAGCAGCAGGAAAGCTTGCCAGTCAATGATCTCAGAGGCAAGCTGTGCAATTTAGTTAGTTAGAGTCTAGCAGTACCCCAATGCACACTCTGGGGTCCCCAATCCTTGGCTCTTGCTAACCTGCATCTAATACTTTCCAGAATTAGGTAAGCAGAATGTGCACATTCCATTCCAATAAACATCTCAGTAATTTCAATGTATAGGTGGGATGCATGTAACTCAATTTGGTTCTGGTTACACTTAAACTCGGTGATGGGTTTCCACGTGTGTCAAGACACCTGGCTGATAAGGATTCTACTTTGATAGAAATTTGGCAACTTTATTTGCATTTTTTGTTTGGAACAATTAAATATTTCAAAATAAGCTTTGTCCTCCTAACTCAAGTGAGTTTATCCAGTAAGAAACTAGTCAAAGCAAGGATTATTATTATGATTATATAAGCCATGCAGATCAGAAAGGTCCCAGTCTGTGGTGAGACAGCTTATCGCAGCTGGAAAGCACCAGGGATGCTTCAATCGGCTCTAGTATCTCAGGTCAGTCAAGGAGGAAATCCAGGGTTCCCACTGCAGATTGAGATTGAGCTACCAAGTGACACCTGGTAGAGATATGCACAAATCTGATGGTTGATGACTGCAATTCATGTGCCTCCCCTCCTTCCAAACCAGTCAACTAGCACTCAACACTCCCTGGCTAGGCTTATAAATACGGCCACTTTGTTGAGCAACTGGAGAACACCTGAGCCCATTGGAAGGAATGAGGGCAGTAGAAAAAATGGATAAAGGAAAAAAAGGGAATAAAAACACTGAAAAAAATGCACATAATCTTTAAATGAAAAGTTTTTTATTTGGTCCAATTCAACCTGTGCACACGAAGATTGTCAAGTGTGGTCCAATGAAGGAATAATTTGCATCCTGTCAGAAATCAGTGGAAAAGCATAAACTTGGCTCAGCTCCAGATTTATGTTGCCTGAAATGCACCGTTTGCAAAGGAATTCAATTTACCTAAGATAAAATTGGCCAAAGCTTGGTTTGGGCACAGCCTGCTCAGCTGATCCACATTCAGATCAGTGACTTCCCCCCCCATCTGAAGTTTGCACACGTCCTTTGTGCAACAATTGATGCTTTTCACCTGCAATAATGGATGAGAGGCAGCAACTGCACTTTCAGAAAGTGTTAAGTGAGAAAGTTACCAACAAGTTACTTCCTGAATTCATTCACAACAGGAAGACAAAATGACATTTTTTTATTAACCAGCAAAGATTTTGAAAGAGGGCAGCAATTGTTAGGTTTATAAAGGCTGCGCAATGGGGGCAATTTTAGGTCTTGCAATGGGGCTGAAGCAACATTAAGTGTAAGTGAGCACGGTATTTTAGACACTCAATTGCAAGTGCATAATTCCAAGTAATAAAATAAATTAATGGAGTTACATTACCTACGTATAATTTACTGAGGTCTATAAAATATCCTTCCAAGAAAGTTAAGATGCAGCGAAGCGAGGTTTGGTACAGTAAGAAAATGATCCCAGTAGGATTTACACAGCATCTTTGGCCAGCTGTAATTTGTTTTTGGTCACAAGGTTAAATTAAATTCTCTTAAGAATAACAATTTGCTGGAACTGAAAACAACCAGTCAGTAAATTGTGTGGACAGAACTACTGCATATCCAGATGTAGGATCCGTGCCACTTTGCTTCACCACACAGGCTGCACCACGGGGTAGCATTCACCTGGAGACTTGGTCTCCTGATCAGAAAGGCAATTGTTGCAATTTTCTGGTGAGGGATTTCAACCCGGATTAAAAAGGAAAAACAATATTCTGGATGTGTGGAAGCAACGTTGCACTATCAGCCTAAGGAGACTTTTACAATAAAATATAAACAATTGTTTTCAATTCTACCAAGTCTTATGGGGGTTGAAATTTCACCTGGGTCTCAATTGACTTTATTTTTGTAGTAATTCAGAGCGTCCAGAATTTGGCAAATTGTTGAATAACTTAACCTGATTTCCAGTAATGCTTAAAAGAACATACAGAAAACTGGCTTGAAAATTAAGGCAGCATTTAAGAATTTCCCACATTCTGAAAACTCTGAAATGCTAGGAAAGTAGAGTATATCAAAACTCAGGTAAAATGTATGCCCCACAATATAGTGCAGGACATTAGATACCCATAGCAATTAAATATTTAAGCTATGAGAGGCAAAGATCAGACAGAGGTCTCAGGATTACATATTGTAGTGCCCACCCCCCTGCCCCGCTTTACCAACATAGGTAGTTCAGAGTGGCCTGTGCACTGCAGTGAGTGTTACCATAAAGCATCGTTTTATAGCTGTAACTTTCCAATTTCTCTTGCCTATGCATTGAAAAATTTAACGCAAGAAGTTTTCCTTTTAACTACATTAAACTTTTATTCAATGTGGAGGTTCTGCTGTTCACCTTGGGCTTTGAAGCCTGTTCCCATAATTGAACATTTCATTCATAACAGGAGTTAGGAATGTATATGTTGCCTAGTTCTTCCTATTTTTTTCATAGACTGTTTTCAGTGTATAATTTGTGGTTATTAGCTGTTGCCTATATAGGATTCTAGTCTACAAAATTCAGTCGTTTTTCCCATTTCAAGTGTCCTTTTGATATTTTCATGCTACTTGGGAAGTTTGTACTAAATATAAAAAGCCATTATTGCTTGAGACCCATTCATTAATTCATTGCTTTCCCCCCTAATTCTTCTGTTTTCTGTGTTTTTCAGAGGCAGGTTACTTCGCTTTTGCTAAGGGTGGGGTTGTTGGCAGCCTGGGGTGCCACCTTACTGGGGCTCCGCTTATACTGGATGGGCAACAAGCCACCAAGCTTCTCGAAATCTGACAACCCAGCAGCGGACGCAGACAGCCTGCTGACGCGCACCTTCACCTTTCACTATTTGCCAGCACTGAATGTCTGGTTGCTGCTGTGCCCAGACACTCTGAGCTTCGATTGGTCCATGGATGCCGTGCCACTAATCAGCAGTGTCGGTGACTGGAGGAACCTTCACACTTTATTGTTCATTGTGGGACTCCTGCTTCTCATCTCTACGAGCCTGAAGGTGCTCCAAAAGACCAAGCTTGCAATGGGAAAGCAGCGCTCAACGACAAACAGAATACAAATGGGCACAGCTGCCACTCAGCTCTGGAGTATGGGAACTCTGAACACGGGTTTTATTTTAGACCGAGAACAGACAACCTTATAATGAATGAATCAATTCAGGGACCACCACTTCCTTTAACAGAGAACACTGCCATTTTCTCATTAACGCTGTTAATAGTGCCATTCCTGCCCGCCACCAACCTCTTTTTCTACGTGGGTTTTGTGATAGCAGAGCGTATCCTGTACATTCCAAGCATGGGCTTCTGTTTGCTGGTAACAGTGAGTTTAAGGGCCCTCTCTGTCCGAATGAAGAAAAAAGCCTTTAAGAACCTGGTTTTATCTGCAGCTGCTGCTTTAGTTGTCTTATATGGACTGAGAACCATAGTGAGGAACAGAGACTGGCATGACGAGGAAATGTTGTATAGGTCAGGGATAAAAGTGAATCCGGCTAAAGGTAAATCATTTTAATCTCATTGAAAGCGGGGGCAGGGGGTTGGAGGAGGAGATGAGGAGGAGAAAAAAATAAAAAGGAGCTTGATGTTAAGATGATGTGTCATGTTTAATTGGATTCTAGCACCAAATTGAACAACTGCTTTCTCTTCCTGGCAGCGTGGGGTAACCTCGGGAATGTTCTGAAAAGCCAAGGCAAGGTTTTGGAAGCTGAAAAGGCCTATAGAAACGCCTTGTACTATCGTAGCAACATGGCTGATATGCTTTATAATTTGTAAGTATGCATGACTCAACTGCTGGCCTTATTCCTAACCAGGTCAATTATAAAACGTGCAATGAATGGCTCTATTGATCTATTTGTGTGACACAGATATTGTTTGCTGCTACAATGAATAGCTGTAGCAGTGTTTTAATGAATCCTGTTCCCTGTCCCACTCAGACAGCACAACTTCTTTTATAACATCCCTTAGTGGAGGGAAAGAAAAAGTTTACCCACATTGACCATCAATACCTTCCCTTTTCTTCCTCGATTAAAATCCCCCAAATGTCAATATGGAATAAATATTCAGCAGGTTCTTTCATCTTTTCCTGAGTGGCAGCTCCTATTATGCATTCAACCCGCCCTCCTGGGTTAGGTAGGCATTGTTTCAGGTTCAGCAGAGTAGTCATGCAGCAGCAGCAGTAGCAGCACATTATACCAACAGCAGGGCACCTCCATTCTTCACTCACTAAATGTCACCGGCTGTTTTGTTGTGGGCTCCTGTTCACGAGAGTTCAACAGAGACTGCAAGGGCTCAGTTCGCTTGTGGTCACTCATGGGTATCAACCAGAGTCGAACAATCTTCCTCCTTCTTCTCCTCCTCTCTGCACATTTTTTTTGATTCAAACACTGTAAACACTGACCTGATTCCCCGCCCGATCTGCTGCACCATCAGTGAGCGAGCTTTCCACCATTCTGTCTAGAATTCCGTTTTGTAGTCCCTTCACATCGCCCTTTCCCCTCTGCTTTTAAAGTCCACCTTAACACTTGCGTCTTTGATTGCGCTTTCAGTTATTTTTACCCCCTTCCCTCTACACCTTCTCCAAGGTCCTCTCGCCCCCTCCCACCACCCTGTTTCCTGGCGTAGGTGCCCAGTCATTTGTGTGAGCCACTTTGAGACACTATACGCTCACACTGAGAAAGGTGCTATATAAACATAAATTGTATTGTATATGCTAAAAATACATAGAATAGTTCAACTTCTTACATTCTATCGGAAACTACAGCATGTCTGGACGTTTCAAGCCAAACTTCATTTCCCCTTTCACCTCTTCCTGCGTAACAAATACTCACATCCTGACTTTTGTAATGATGTATTAGCTGCAGGAAGGTTGTAGTTCATAGTAAAGAGACACAAGGTCCAGACCTTAAATCTGCTCAAAGAAAAAAGATCATGGTTCTAAATCAGTACCATAAGCAACCTCTCGGCTTCCCAAGCAGATGCCTGTAAGTTCTGAGCAGAAGCCTGTGTGTTCTGAGCCTCAAAGCTTCATTGTGTTTATTCTATCAATTGTGGGCCAGTGTGTTGGACAGAATATCTTGTGGAACTAAAGTGTTCCAAATGGAGGATCAGAAATATAAACCTGGTTTCTCTCGACCTCCTTTTCATGTTACATTATACCAGCCAATTGATGGCAGAAGAACAATTCTGTTCCCCTAAACAAGGTGCATTGAGGCATCCATAGTCTAGACTGACCCATCATCAGAAGATTGTCCACAAAGCACTAAAATGAGTATTGGACATGGTAGTTTAATGCATTGTTGGAAGAGTGAGACCGAGTTATTGTCCTTCAAATGAGACATTAAACCAAAGTCTTGTCTGCCTGTTCAGGTGGATGTTAAAGATCTCTGGGCACTATTCAAAAAGACGGGAGTTCTCCTGACATTGTGACCAATAATCTCTCAGTTAAAAATGGTCATTCACTTCACAGCTGCTTGTGGAACATTGCTGTGCATAAATTGACTTCCACATGCATCTACAAACACGTAGTCAGTACTCTTTGCAAAAAACTCTTAAGCAAAGCGCTTTGAGATGTTCTGACATTTTCTACAGTTTCCATTGATTAGATCAACAGTACAGCAAAATGCAGAAAATGCTATTCAAACGTTCACTGCATTGCAATTCCCGAGCAGAAGGAATCTCGGTCACAATTATTTTCGGGGAGTCTTAACTTTGATTTTAAAAAAAATGATTGAATACAGAAGAAAACCGTAACTTTTGCTTAAATTTAAACATACTTGTTCTTAAACGAGCTGGAATATCAAGGGATTAAATTACATGGCTCCTCAAATTCACCGGCTGATTAAACAGATGGGGACAGAGAACAAAAAACAAAGGGATAGTACTCTTGCCTCTGAGTCACATGGTTGTGAGTTCAAGCCCCAGATCAGAACTTTGACCTCAGAGCCCCCTCGTCTCCAGTGCAGTGCTGGGGCAGCGTCTCAATGTCAGAGACGCCATCTTTTAGATGAGACATTAAACAGAGGTCCTGTCTCTGTTTAACGTCCAGTTTTTTCCCTGTATTATGGCTAATAATCCCCCATTGCCCATTCACTTCATGGCTGTTTGTAGGACATTACAGAGTGCAACTTGATTGTCATGTTCACCTGTAAAGTACAGTCACTTTCATAACATGACAAGGCACTATATCAAATGCAGAATCCTAGCAATGTTGTCAAGTGCTCGAGGTGTTTGCAACTTTGCTTGTGGTTAGATGCAGAAAAACTCATGAAAGTTCTGTGGGAAAATATAAAGCAGAGCTATGAAAGATGCAGAGTGCAGGGCTGAATACTGCACACACTCACATGAGCACATCCCTGAGCTTTATTACCAAATGACTGGCAAGGCGATAAGCTTGGAATCTCAGCACACAACGTCATATATCAATATTACCACACTTAGCCTCTTATAGTATAGATCTCTATGCAGCGTGAATCTGCTATTAATTCAATTTCCGAGCAAAGCCCATGAGAGCCATGCCAATTAATTGATGGTATTAAATCAACAGAATAATTGTAGAATCGGTTCACCAGCAAGTCACTGCGGCAGTCTGCACGAACTTGATGCATTACTGTCTGGGGTAATGGCTTTCAGATAGTACATCAAGGAAGACTGTTTGTTAGTCTTACTGCAGTAATCACTTGAACTATATTTTTTAAACTAACAACCTGACTTAACCTTTTTAAATCAGGTGATCAATAAATCTCAACCAACTAAAGCTCTTGCAGCAGGACCAGTAAGTTGCACCAAAAATCGATAGGAAACTTTTGGATTGGTGTTTAAAAAAATGACCAGGGAGTTTCTCCCGATATTTCTGGCCAACCTTCCTGCAGTTATATTGGTCATTCATCTCCTGACTGCTTGTGGGACATTGGTGTGTGCAAATTTGCTGCCGTGTTCGCCTACAAGTACACAGTTCCTGTACTGAACAGTATTTACTGTGAAGTGCTTTGAGACATTACAATAATAATAATCATTCTTGCATTTGATATAACACCTTATCGTGTCTTCGGGACGTCTCAAAACGCTTCACAGAATATACTGTAAAGTGAATTGACTATAAATTTTGTGGGCGAAACGCATCAGCCAATTGCGCACAGCAGTGTCCCACAAACAGTCGTGGATTGAAGTGACCAATTTATTATCTTTTTAAAGAATTATTAGATGCCAGGTCAAACATAAGGATTATTATTATTTTGTAATTATTGTTATTTTCTGTGGGACATTCCTCCACAGAGAAGCAGCTGCATTTGCATTAATAACATTCAATTCTAATCATTTCTATTTTTGTTAAAGGGCTTTGACACATTTTATTTTTAAATTTAAAAGGTGCTGTATAAATTTTATATTATATACTTTGTGGGTGAAACAATATTTGACCTTACAACAGGAGAAAACAAATTATTGTGAGAGTTAAAACAGAATGGGGGAAGGAATAATATTGGACCAGCCAGGTCATTGAAACAATAAACGATTGAGCACTGATAACAAAGACAATGCAAAACCAAATGTCCTGGAGGTGTGAGACAATGAGTAAAGTAGCACACAGGGAAGTTGCATGAGGCACACAGCACAAGTATTTTTGGAGATGCTGCTTTAACTCTGATAAAGCATCACATTGTGAAGGTTTTGGCAGATGTGAAGTTCCAAAGCTGAAAATAGATCATCTATGAATGTTGCACTTCATAGGGTTTGTAACCAGTAATTATCCCGGATCCTGCACTTGAGCACTGTACATAAAAACATGAACATGCTTTCCTCAAGTGCCTTTAGTTTCGTCCACAAAATATACACTTTTGATTCACTATACAGTATAGCCTTGGGACGTCCTCCCGACGTGAAAGGCACCTTACAAATGTAATTTTGTTGATGTTGTATTCTGTGAAGTGCTTCGAGATGTCTCAATGACGGGATAAGACACTATATCAAATGCAAGGATTATTATTATTATTTCAGTGACAGTTTGGCTTTGTGAGTTGTACTCTAGGTTATAAGTTGGTCTTTTCAATCCTAGGCTGATTCTATAATGCAAAACTGGGGAAAGCACTGGATTGTCAGAGTGATATTCTTTGAATGAGAAGTTAAACTGAGGAACCTGCTGGACTTCAATATTTGAATAGAGAAGGGAGTTTTCTGTATGTGCCTTAGCCAACAATCCTCCAGATAGATTGGACATTCAACTCTCTGCTTTTTTATGAGACTTTTCACTAAGCAAAATAACTTGTTTGCCTTCAAAACAGTCGCTACACTCAACAGTACAGTAATTTTTCTGAAGTGCATTGAGGCATTTCAACATCATTAAGTGCTACAAAAATGCAAGTTCTTTCTTTTTGTTGTCTCTTACCTCAGTGATATGTCACAGCCTGACATCATGTCACTGAGAATGCTCAGTGTTAGCATTCTCGCCTCTGAGTCAGAAGGTTGTGGGTTCATGCCCCAAGTTGGGACTTGGAACTCAAATAGTTGAGCATTCTTGTGCAATTCTGGGGATGTCCTTCATGGTTGGCAGTGCCATCTTTTACATGAGATGCTAAACCTTGGTCATTCTGTTTGTGGAACATTGCTGTGTATAAACTGACTTCCTGCATACAGGAGTCCTGTAGCTCAGTGGTTAGAGCACTCGCTTTGCAAGCGAGAGACCTGAGTTCAATTCCAGGCAGAGGCGAAACCTTGGGCAAGTTTCCTTACTCCACACGCCTAATAATAATCCCTCCAAAAACCAAAAACAATAATAAATTGGTCATTTTCAATCTACGACTGTTTGTGGGACATTGCTGTATGCAATTGGCTGCCGCGTTCGCCCACAAATATACAGTCAATTCACTTTACAGTATATTCTGTGAAGGGCTTTGGGACGTCCTCCCGACGTGAAAAGCGCTATATCAAATGCAAGGATTATTATTATTATTATTTGTGTATGAAATACACCGTCGTTACACTTTACGGTATATTTGACGTGAAAGGTGCCATATCAACTGTAAAGATTATTAGTAATGACTTGGTTTCCAATAAAGATTTCACACTTTTGTTTCAGAGGTCTGCTTCTTCAGGAAAATGAGCGGTTCTCAGAGGCCCTGCACTACTATAAATTGGCAATTGGTTGCAGGCCTACCCTGGCATGTGAGTAATCACTGAACTCTGCTGAAAACATCAGCAAACCTTTGTGCTTCCAAACAGCTAATGAGTTGTATTTTTCTTGTTGCCTATGCTATCGAGGTTTTGGGGATATTTATTTAACACAAACCAAATGTAAGTTGCCCAACAGACATTACAATTAACCAATTAAAGTGTCACCAAAGAAATTTATGGCTATGTGCGTTTGCAGTAATAGTACTGACTTCACCCCAGTTTCTACTCAAGAAACTGAGAATATCTTTTTGCTGAAACCTGTTCTGATTTGTGTTATATTTGTGTTTAATCTGTAAAATATACTGCTTGGAAAATTCTGCCGTATGTTCCCGTTTGCAGTCCTCGGTGCTGGTACAAGTACCTTTGTTCAGAATAACAAGAGGTTATTCAGGAAGCTGCCTGTATGACAGCGCTTGTTGTCAGGTTTCAATTGCAGCTGGTGAATGGTGATGGTGTGCACCACCATATCAAAGCACTGGGGCCGCGCAGTTTGGCTCAGCTGTTTCTTGTGGGGTGGGATCCTGGTCTAGGCGGACCGGGCTTTTTCCGGATAGAAAATACGAAAAGAAGGGGTCAGTCCAGGGAGCAGATAGGCAAGTTTCTAGTGTAGGAGTGAGGGAGCTAACCAATAAAGAAACAGAGAGCTTTACTGATGGGACTATTGGGTAGAAGCCTTGTGCTGAGTTAGGGCTAATCTCAGCCAAGGTAGGAGTTGAGATGAGGTACTACAATTGGCCTGGTAACCCAGGTTGAGGGAGGGGAAAAATTAGCCAGGGTTTTCTTTGCTATCCAGAGACCCCTGCTGGAAGGCGCCAGTGCATTTAACTCAGGATCAGTGCCCACTAAGATCATCGATCAACCTGCTAACATTCACTATTGCACCTCGTGTCCATGCACAAAAATATTGGTCTCTGTATAGAGATACCTGAGGGTACCATAGACAGCAAAAGCACAACAACCTGCATTCATATTAGCTCCCTTCATGTAGGGTGGTGTCTCGAAGAGCTTACTCCAGTAGAAGGGAGAAAATAATCAGTTACCCTCAGGAGAGGAGAGAAAAGTAAAAGGGAGAAAAANTTAATTTACCAAATGGCATTGTGGCAGAAAGAGAGGGTAATTTACTTGTCTCAGATATGGTTATTGTGCAGCATGTTTGCAACTGCTTACAAGTGTGCCATACCTTAAACCTATTATGTTTCAGTGCTATTTAATTTCAGTCTTTAACTTCAAACTACTAATGTTTCAACCACAGAACCACGTTGTTTTGCGTTTTACATATGCTACTGTAAGAATAATTCACAACGCCCCTCTGCCAATATTCAGCAGTAGACATTCCAACCCAGTGGTTCAGAGCCAAAACGTCAGCTACACTCCTCGCACACGTAGCTGGTGAATCCCTCGTGTTTAATTAGCATTTCTGACAGCTGCTTATTCGCTCTTTTCCCCCACAGCTGCCTACTTGAACACTGGGATTATCCTAATGAACCAGGGCAGGTTGGAAGAAGCCAAGAAAACCTTTGTCATATGCGCTGACATCTCCGATGAAAACCTAAAAGACCCTCATACTCACAGGAGTTCTGTAACAAGCTGCTTATACAACTTGGGCAAACTCCTGCATGAACAAGGACAACATGAGGTAGGTAGGAGCAGAATAGAAAATTGAAATCAACTGCGACAAGGAGTACGTCAGAAGTCAGGCAAGCTGCTCATCGGCATGTTTCACTGTTACCTTCTGTGCCCTGAGGGGTTTATTCTCTGTTCCTGCCGGAGTTATATTCACAGTTTGAAAATAATCGTCACAACTCCAGTTCTTCCATGATCTGATACACTCGAATCTCCAATGGATTCAAGTAAAATTCAGTTAGAACGCATGTCACTTTCACTGGGGGAGAAAAACAAATGCCATTTTTTTTAGATGTGGGTTTAATATGGGTATGAATGCTAATAGTTTATTAGCAAGACATAGGCCTGGAGGCACTGAGAGAACGTTGACTGGTTGTTCCAGAAAACAAGGCCTGCTTTATATGGGTACTTAGGTCTCAAGCTCTAAACAGAAGGAGGTGTAGCGTTACATAAGCAATTAGCAAGCAGTCACAATGGATGTGCTGAGTGTAAATGGCAGAGTGGCTGAGTCTCTGGCCATTCTCACATGCTGGATTATTTTGTGGGGTAGACCCTGCTGGAATAAAGTCACTTGCACTTGGACTGTCATTTCAGGAAGAACAATTTCAACTGGTAGAGTGAGATTGAGAAGTTTCTTCAAAATTTAAAATGGGAATATTTTAAACAGGGAAGTCTCCACTAAGGACTCATGGGTCCCTGGTGCTAAGTTCTATTTTCAATAACTATCGTGCACCAAAATATGAATAAATCCATCCTGGTGTAGTTTTACCTTTGGGAAATGAAGTGGAGTCCTGTAGCTCCGTGGTTGGAGCACTCGCCTCGCAAACGAGAGCGATTCGATTCCCGGCCAGGCAAAATGTTGGGCAAGTTTCCTTAATCCACAGCCTCTGTTTACCTAGCAGTAAGTAGGAATCCGGTTGTTTGTCGATTGGCGGATCTCTTTTATGGGGGCAATAATTCCTTAAAAAAAATTGGTCACTCAATCCACGACTGTTCGTGGGATGCTGCTGTCTGCAACTGGCTGCCGCGTTTTGCCCACAAAACATAGTCAATTCACTTTACTGTGTATTCTGTGAAGCACTTTGACAAGTTTTGAAGGAGGTGATAAGGCGCTATATCAAATGCAAGGATCATCATTATTTTTACACTTCATGGTTGTGAGTCTGAGTAAAGATAAAGATTATAAAAAGTGAAGCTATGAATACTGGCACTGGATAGTGGGGCTGTCCAGGGAACAAGGTCAGGAGGGGATCTGCTGATTGATCAGAGGCAGCGGATCCACAAAATTCTTGAAGTGACTTAGTGAGCTCCCCCTCCTGTCCCATTGATTCTGTGGAAGATGATACAGGTTGACCTAAAATGATAATCTTACCATCCTTTTTTTTTTGGGTCACAGTCCCAGCAATAGAACTACTGAAGGGCTGCCAACATAGAAACAATTTTGACTGAATGCATTTGATTCTGGAAGTTTAAAAAAAATGTTTCAGGTTTCACAACAGAATTTGTGAAAATGTTTTGTCTTTGAAGCAAGATTAATGGTACTGAGAGTGAGTGGGGGTGAGGATGTAAACGGAGACAAGCTGAACATTTTCAACCATGGTAAATTATGTCTCAGCCTGGCTCAGTGGTAGCACTCTCACCTCTGAGTTAGAAGGTTATGGGTTCAAGTCGGGACTTGGAATTCATATAGTCTAAGCTGACACTCCAATGGAGTATTGATTTGTTGGAGATGCCCTCGGACATTAAATGGCGCTGTTCGATAAGAGAATGGACTGGATCCGTCCACACCTTCAAGAGTGAGATTGATAGATTTTTGGTAGGTCAGGGTATTAAGGGATATGGGGAGAAAGTAGGAAATTTGAATTGAAAGGATTAGCTGAGGAACAGATCAGCCATGATCTAATTAAGTGGCGGAACAGGCTCGAAGGGCTGAATGGCCTGCGCCTGTTCCCATGTTCTCCTTGTGTCCTAGCCAACAATCCCCCAAATAAAAATTGCTTGTTCACTTCATGGCTGTTTGTGGGACATTGCTGTGTGCAATTGTGCTGCCATGGTTGCCTACAAATACGCAGTCACTCAATTTAACAGTAAATCCTGTGAAGCACTTTAAGACGTCCTTCCGGCTTGATAAGGTGCTATTCCAAATGCAAAGATTATTATTATGATCGAGGCGCAAACTGGATGAAAGAAGAAAGCACGGACAATTATTCATGAAATTCAGAAATAAAATGTGGAATTATTTTAATAATGACATGATTTTTAGTTTGCTCAACAGAACCAAGTTAGTAAATAGTCCCATAAGCAATCAGCCCTTTTTTAAATAATGTAAACTATTTCTAATAGTGACAAAACACCATACAAATTGGCCTGGGATTTCTTGTGACATGTCACGAACATAATCAGATTGCTTCACGAATACTCAGTGCAGTTTCAACTAAAAGCATGATAAGCAGCATGATTGAGCATGGGTTAACTCAGCTGTTAAACTCTGCAAATAAATGAACACACTCCCCCTCTCCCAGAACTATAGCCGTACTGGGAATGGGATCTTTCAAATTCTAGGACACAATAGGTTTTCTCTCCGTCTTGAAAAGTACTTAGCACCAGAGGTCCATCATTCCTTATGGAGTTTTTCCAATTTTGAAATGTTTGCAAAATTCTGCACATTCTTAAGCTTTAAGACAATGGTCTTGAAGCAATGCCATGAAGAACTTCGGGAATCTGGTCTCATAAATCTTAAACAAAAGATGGCAGGAGCACCACAGAACTAAGAATTTGAAGGGTTAAAGATCAAGCAGAACCCTCTTTCCTGTGCTGTGTTGGTTGGTGTCAGGCTCCCTTCTTTGGGAAGGACTATCGTAAACAAGCTTTCAGGCTTGTCTGAATTATCATTTATAAATATGTTTAAACCACTGATCAATACGTGGTTCTAGGGATAGCATTGAATGTGTTACATTCCCTTTCACTCGATAAATAATTCCAGTGGAGAATAACGGATGGTGAAGGGGCAGAGATCCAGACAGATAGAGGATGTGCTGACAGGATCTGTTCAGTGGTGTTTTGCTAGTCTCTTTTGGAGTTTACTCAAGCAAGAAATAATTTGAAAGCATAGTTTTGCCATTGCAGCGAGGCAAATGTAGGAGTATTCCAACAAGATCCATACAACAACAAATACAAGATTCAAAATAAACATGAGAGTTTTGAGATGTTGAAGGTTTTTAATTCCACTCAAGTTAACATGAAAGTTTTGTTTTAAAAAAGGAATTTGCATGACCTTATTCTTTGCATGACGTGTTAAGTTGTTAGCTGGTGTGTGTATATGTGTGTGTGGGGGGTGGGGGGGGGGGTTGGAGGAGGCGAAGGTTGAGGGTGGTGAGAGTGTTGCACTGTTCTCTTATGCATCTTGATTGTAAGACACTCGAATTCAAAACAATTTTTCAGTGTTGAGTGGCAGAATTGGTACCGTGTGTTGGATCACCAGTGGGTGGCACTATGGAGTGATGGGTCCCTGCTTGTGAACTCTCACACTGCTGCATTGCCTGATCTCCACCATGTCTCACAGGGGGGCAGCGAGTGGAAGTCAGGTAATTCCCCACTGAAGTTGAAAGTAGCAGGTGTTGGAAGTTTGAGAGCGAGAATCAGGCAGAGGGAGGGGGAAATGAAAAATATTCATACTCACACCAAAATAAAACTAGCAGCCTTTGAATGTTAGAACTTGCGTTGTTCCTCTTCTCTTTCACTGCAGGACGCACTAGTTGCTTATAAGGAGGCAATACAGAAGATGCCAAAGCAGTTTGCACCACAAAGCTTATACAACATGATGGGTGAGTATACTATCACACAGAGTTTTAAACATGTGTATCTGTCTTTCATAAGCAAAGGCTCTATGCCATAGGTCTTTAATAATGTCTTCAGTCTAATCAAATACCATATAGCGATTCTGAATTAACTATACTTGTGCACTGATACCCCGCCTTGCAGAACTGGCTCCAGCCGAAAGCCTCAAGTAAGCCTTAAACTGCTGTTTTTCGCAATCAAAACCAAATGCCACTACATAAATAAGGTAACATTAAAAATAGTCATATGGAACACAACATATGCTGCTTGTTAAGCATGAGAAACAATTCCAGTTGCATTAGTCAAAAATACCACATTAAAAAAGTGCTTGTTAATTTCTCTGGCATGTGACACTGGACAGTACAGATGGTTTGAGCAACAGTCCACAGGATAGCTTTGTTACAGCTGAGTCAAAGCTCATTGGGAGTTCATTGATACGAAATAGAGCTCAGTTAGATTACTATTTGCTACACGACTGTGAAACCTCTGCCTTGGGGGTGGGGGGGGGGGGGGGGTGCGTGTGGGTTTGGGGAGGATCTACGGCAAACCATGATTTATCTCGAGCTGTTTAGTGTATTTAAAGTGGGTCGTGAAAGGAAAGATGTCAAGAGCAGCAGTGTTTTGTTAATCGTCTTAGAGCGGATGGCCACTACTTATAGACAGATCATAAAATATTCCAATAAGGTTGGTAAGTATTCTTCAGGCAACTGTCTGCCTGAAAAAAACCTGTGATTGCAAATTATGACTACAAATTGTAATGTGTATTTTAGTAGCAGGCATCAATGAAGTACCCCCTTCCCACTCCCTGCCACACTGCCCAGTTGTAGTTCTTCCACAAGCAGAGTCAGGACTGCATGGTTCTTCATGGTTCCTTTGTTAGAAGGGTTCAGTTCCTGTTGATATTTTCCTCCCACCTGTTGTAATACATTACAGTTTGGTTATAAAGCTCTTCTGAGTAGTCAGCTCACTGACACTCACTTCATTCCTATTTTCAGGGAGTAAGGTTCTGTTTCAGGAGTTCATTGCTCAGAAACTAGACATCAAAGTACTGTACGCTGGGCTCCTAGGCTCTGTGGAATCTAACCACTTATTAACCTGTCGTATTAGAACTAACCACAGGAGCCGAACATGTTCAAGAGATTTTCTTCGGTAAGCTCACATCATGAGAAAGTATCATTGCAGATGTGTGTCTTGCTGACCTTTCACCCTACCCTCCCCCTCTCTCTTTCTCTCTCTGGCCACAGGTGAAGCCTACATGCGACTAAACAAATTGGCAGAGGCTGAGCACTGCTACCTGGAGTCCCTCCGCTCGAAGCCTGACCACATCCCTGCCCATCTGACATATGGAAAGCTTTTGGCACTCACTGTGAGTTGACCTCAGTTGCACTTATTGTGGTCTTCATGCAACCCAGGACTTTATAGCACATCCCTTGTGAGTTTGACCATCCAGGAAAAAAGTACTTGAAACTGAAGGTGATAAATTTCTCTTGCTGTTAAGGTTAGTGACTTTGATGATGTCTGCCTATAATAGGGCTTTCTCACATAAGCACACATCGTAAAATGCGCTACACTTAGCAGCAAGAGGAATTTCACCCCATGAGTCTTCAGATCTCGGTTTGTAATGTTATTAACTGTGTTTAAGCTAAGACTCGTTCAGCATTTGCAAATTTTGCCAATGTTCAATACTTTTCTACTGAAGATGCAGCAAAGCTCCCACCCACCCCCAATACTTTTCAATAAATGTAGTTTTCTAAATAAATCATATTTAGAAATTTCATATGTGAGAAGGTCGATCACTTCCAGACTGGAAACCACACAAAGGGAGACTGAAATGTATTCTCGTTGCCTTGCTGCCCAATAGGTGTAATGTCATGGTGTGTGCTGTTAGCACTATGTAGGGTGCCAGAGTGTGACTCTGCAAGGAAATGCTATGGATAGGTCAGTTTTAGTGGATGTCACTGACTTGGGAACTGGGTTACTGACACAACATGAATTCCGACACTGACAGACCACTTAAATCGGTGTTCGATGTAAGATACGCTTTGTGTTCATCAGTATTAAGAGTTCAAATTTAATGCAATATTTATACTGGCACCAGTGCAGCAGCTATATGTGTGTTGTACAAACAGTGTATTTTATTGTTTTGTTTCCCCTCTCCTGATAGTGCGCCGATTGATATACTTCACTGTGTGGATCTCATGTGTGATGGGAAGGAAGCAAATTAGCAATATCAAACAACAACAGCATATTGCATTTATATAGCCCATTTCACGTCAGGAGTAATGATAAACTTGTACTTGACATATATCACTGGCAACCAAATATACAAATAAATCTCAGGTCTGGCTGGGTGTAAAATAGTCAGATTTTTTTTCAGGACTTGTAATTGGTTGTTTCTCACAGGACGGTGGAGGATTACCCTCTTAATTCTTTCAGACTCAGCAACCTAAAATGTCCCTCAAATTTTGGGAATAAAGTCTCCCATGGCATTTAGAAGGAAGTAACTATTGATGTGTGAGTTGCTGTTTACAAAAGAGATTTACAAAGAATGTTTGGCATGGAAACAGTCCATGCTGGTGTTTATACTCCACATGAGTCCACACCCTTTACCCCCTCCTGTACCCTTCAATTCTCCTCTCCCTCATGTTAATATCTAGCTTCCTCATGAATGCATCTATACTATTTGATTCAGCTACCCACTTCAGCAGTGAGTTCCACAATCTCACTATCCGGTGCATGAAGTAGTTCCTCTCTTTTTGATTCCCTAGTCACTATCTTATATATTTGTGTGCCCTGGTTATGGACTCCCCAAGCACTGGAAACAACATACCCTGCCACTTAAATTAAAGGTTTGATGAATAAAATGCTCCATAAGATAGCCACAGTGAGTGTGGGATATCACTATTTACCTGGAAACATTCACCCACCACTGGTCTGGTACTTGTGTTATGGAGCCTGCGTATATAGAAATGACGTGCTAGATAGCTTCCTTCAATGTACTGGTGAATTGGATTGATAAGCCTTTGCTTTACTGGTTAAATAGAATCATCTGCAGTTTTCTAACAAAAATGGCTGGTGTTTCTCATGCATGGACTTCCTGTTTCTCAGGTTAGACTTATTCAGAGCATTTCCATTGACTTTCCAGAAGCATTCAATCTTTTTCCAATGAGACAGACAGTATGGGCGAAACAAGTGACCATATCCCTGTTACATATCGGGTAGTTGTGCTTGATTTCCACAAGGCCTTGGGAAGAGCTGCAACACATGTTCTATATGTGGCAGGCAGGCTCTGGTCACAGTCTGCTGCAACATATAGCTATCAATCGGGAGCCACAAAAAGCTTTGTGACCGTTCGATGTAAGCCTGTTTAAACAAGTGGGATTGTAACTTGAAAATAATCTCATCAGGAACAAATTGGCACTCATATCACTGAACTACAGTAGTACATATTTAAAAGGAAATCCTATGTATTTGTTGGAACTGCAGTTAACAGAGTATTAATAAACTTGCACTGTATCTGTGAGTAATAACAACTTTGGAACTTAACTGGCAAATCAGAAATATGACCTCATTGCACAGTTTATTATTCTGGTTTGGCACTGTGTCACACTGAACTTCAATCACGGTTTCCTGTATAAACCATGCATACTTCACAAACCACATGTTCTTTTAATACTCTGATATATAATAATAACATAAAGATACATGCTTTGATTGATGTTAAGATGTTCAATTATCTAAGTAAGCACTTCAGTTTGAACTCTACTAATATAGCACCAAACGTTGTTGTACATGAGTGAAACCTTGTTTTAATTCCTATTGAATAATAATAATCCTTGCATTTGATATAGCGCCTTATCACATTGTTGTGATGTCTCAAAGTGCTTCACAGGATATACGGTAAAGTGGAATAACTGTATTTTGTGGACGCAACGCAGCAGCCAGTTGCGCACAGCAATGTCCCACAAATAGCCATTGGAGTGAGTGACCAACTGTATTTGGGAATTTGTTGGCCAGGATCTATAAGGTCTAAGCCAAAATTTAACCTGAAATTGACATCTCTGGATAACTTAATGACCACTGTTGTTAAAGTCCTACACTGAAGTGTTAGTGCACTGTGATTTGGGTTGTAGAAGCTATTAAACATTAAGGAAGACCCTGGAATTTAGTCTCATAACCACTTCTTCATTCATCTTTGTTTCTACTTGTTGCAGCCTTGATGGTATAGCACTAAGATCATTGGCCTTTCGCCTTAATTTTTCCAAAACGATGAATGGAACACAAGTTACTGATATAGAGTTGCTTTGTTCTTTCATTTTAGCTTCTCCTTTGCACGACCAATACTTTTACTCTAGCAAGTAAGCAGAATGTGCTTATTCTTTCCAGTAGGTGGTATGCCGTCCAGTCCTGATTTATGATTTTATGTCTAATGTATAGTTTACTCTATTTATAGTTCTTGCTTTGTAAAATAAACAATACTGCGTGTATGGTAAATCAACATGATACAGTGGAGCTCACTTAAGTGCAACATTCAACAAATATCGAGATATATTGCATAAATACCCATGTAACAAACCATATACCTTGTAATAATGAATGATCTCAAAATTCATGGCTTTCTTAAAAGTACTATAGAGATTTACAGACATTGCAATCCTTTCATAGGAAATATTGCACATGCCTTTCCCATCTGTCTCTTGCTCTATCTGATATTGATAGCTCTATATTAATATCAGCCAATAGATTGGGGACGGGACCAAAGACAGGGCCGTCTCCTTGGAGCTTTACGATTTTAGTTCAGATACCATGACCAATGTCTCTTTAAGAATGTTATGAAATATGATAGGGGTATAATTTGTTTATTAACCCAAACCTTGTGTTTATTAGCCCAAGGAATGAGTTAAGAAACAACTCCAAGTTTTATCTGACTTCAATATATGTATATATTCTTTGAATTAGAATTTTTTCCCCTAAGATTTCCTCAAATGACAGTAGTGAGGTGGGTTCACCTCCATGTTTAACTCTCTTCCTTTGGAGAACATTTCCTGTTAATAAGCTAGGTGAACCTGGGAGCTGCTTTGTGGGAAACAATAGGTGAGAACACAGAATGAACCACTTTTTATGTGAGAGTGTGTTGGTGCTACAACATGTTGCACTGCTGAGTGAGCATTGATTTTTTTATATAAAAAAATCCCTGAGCCAAGGAGATGCTTCAGATTTAATGGTTAAAGTGACCTGGCTCGACAAGCATTCAACAAAATAACAAGGAGCAGCTGTCAATCACGGGGAGGCAAGGGCCTGAGGTTGTGTTCCACCAGCTGGCAAATGTTACTGTAGCTTTAAACACACATTGAAACACTCCTGCAGGATTTCATTTCAAATACATTGATGACGGGAAAATTCTCTTAAGACATGGATAACGTGGATTCTTTATAAATGTCTTTAAACGCAAGATTGCTGTGTGCTGACAACAGGGTCTAATATGCAACAGTTTCGAATGGAATTTCTTATTACAGGAATTTCTTTCTGGACAAAAGACACCCGTTAGAAATCAGCACTTAAGGAACCAGAGTGGGGACATCCAGTATCTAGACGTATATCCCACACATCATACTGATCCACAGTAACTCTTCTTCAATGCAATCTACTTTGGTATTGGAGATCACGCAACCCCCCCCAAGTCGGCATGAGATACAGTACTTCTTTCCGGTTTCCTATCAAGCCATATCATTAGAAATTCTCACATATTGGACCCCATTGTGTGTGTTTGTCGAACATAGGGAGGGAGAGAAAGCCATCCAGTCACTACACACCGAGATGTGTACAGTTTAGTTTCTCATGATTTCCTCTTTTTGCTGATTTTGAAGGATCGTAAGGAAGAGGCAGAGAAGTATTTTGTTCGGTCCATCCAGTTGGATCCTGCGAAAGGCAACTGCTACATGCATTATGGTGAGTTCACTTTTCACCTGATTTTCGTTCCATCTTTAGTAGACTGCACAACTTGCTGCCTTTCAGAAAGAGCAGATCTGAAGATGATATGAGAGCAGGGACTGCCCATCAAGAGTGTTCTTTTCGAGGATAACTTATAATTTACCTATCATGGATAATTCCCGCTCCTCTTATTTAATCTCCTGAGGGAATGTTCTGTAGCATTTCTCCCAGACCCTGCATGTCTGGCTGCAGATCACTCGTCTGCACAATTCCAGACCATCTGTCTATGCATGTACCACCATTATTCAATCTTGGCCTTTTACTTTCAATAGATGACGTTTTCAATGTCCCAGTTGCTGAGAAACTATTTCCATCTGTAGTTATTCAGTTCTTATTTTGAAAGAGTCACTGACGGTATTTTGGCAATGTTGCTGAAGATGTAGCATTAGTTCCCAGCAGGAGAAGTGGAAGTGGCGTAGAACTGATGGTACTAGCCCCGCTTCACACTTCCTATCATCTAACAATATGAATTCATTGGTAATGAACATGAAAATGTGCATAGCTCAGATCTTCTTAGCTAAAGGGAAACTTATGTCTTAATAGCAAAAATAACAAATTAAAGCACCTCTAAGGCCACTAAAAAACGTTTGTTCAGAAATTCTTCATTAGAACTGAAAAATTAAGGAATATGTGAGAATGTCAAGATTAATGCAAGCTAGTTGCTCCAGGCAACTTGTCCTTTAGATCTGCCATTGCAATATACAATAACCTTAGTCAGCCCATAATCTAGCAAGCAGGCCACCTGAATAGGCAGATGAGACCTCAGTTAACATTTCATCCTAAGAAAGACACCTTCAACAATGCCACGCTCCGCAGCTCTGCATGAGAGTGTTGGCATAGACTGTGAGCTTAAAGTCTCAATGTGGGGCTTGAACTCACAACGTTCTGACTCAGAGATGAGAGCCCTAGCAAATAACACACAAATACAAATTAACAAAGAAACCCGCATCATATCATGTAATGCTAACGTAGTATACACAATCCACAGGTTTAACACCCCGGATTGGAATTAATGACTGGTGTTGAGTTATTGACAATTTGCAGAAGTTATTGGAGATTCTGAGTGGAACTTACTCTGTTCTTCTGTCTCTATTCACAGGCCAGTTTTTGCTGGAAGACTCCCGGCTGCTTGAAGCTGCTCAGATGGCGGAGAAGGCCGCTCAGCTGGAGAGCACAGAGTTTGATGTTGTTTTCAATGCTGCCCACATGCTGAGGTCAGTGCTCTATCACAGTGCACTGTATCATGAAATCCATTTTAAGCTCGGCCGTTTCATGGAGTGGTTTCTCTCATAATAATAATAATAATCCTTGCATTTATATAACGTTTTATCACGTCTTCGACACGTCTCAAAGAGCTTCATAGAATATACTGTAAAGTGAATTGACTGTATATTTGTGGGCGAAATGTGGCAGACAATTGCACACAACAGTGTCCCACAAACAATTGTGGATTGAAGTGACCGATTTTTTATTTTTTTTGTTTGAAGGAATTATTACCCCCAGAAAAGTGATCCACCACTTGACTAACAACTGGGTACCTCCTTACTGCTAGGTAAACAGAGGCTTGTGTAATAAGGAAACTTGCCCAACATTTCATCCTGCCGGGAATCAAACCCAGGTCTCTTGCTTGCGAGGCGAGTGCTCTAAACACTGAGCTACAGGACTCTACGACACCTCCAGCCTTATTGAATGCACAATTAGACAAGGTTAAGTAAGTTGAGTAATGGAGTCATTCATCCACAAAGTACAGTATATGAATACAGTATATGCTGTGAAGCGCTTGGAATGTCCTGTTGCCATGAAAGGCACAATACCAATACCAAATATATAAATTATTATTATAATATGATGGTTCAGGTGATATTTATCCCAGTGAAATGTGTCAGAGGCAGATTCCCACGTGACATGCCCAGTGGGATGTTTGGGAAGCTTGGCCCCTGACAGTGGACTTCCGCCTTATAGATTGAGGTCTTTAGCATCCGAGTAGAAAGATAATAATAATAATAATAATAATTGCGTTTGATTTAATGCCCTTCACATCAGGAGCACATGTCAAAGTGCTTCACAGGATTTCCTGTAAAGCAGATGGAACCTCAGTTTAACTTCTCATCTGAAGGATGGCACTTCTGACAATGCAGCACTTCCCAAACACTACATTGCATTATATGGGGTTAATGGCTTTTGGAGGATTTTATGATTACGAAATTCAACTATCTGCAGTTGAGACCCACGATCAGCTGTTAGAAGTCCAGGGTCATGAGCCCAGCTTCAGGGTTTGGCCGTTAAGAACGTCCTCTGGCACATTGGATGAGCTAAGTATCGAATGGGCCACTAAATTGATTTCTATGTGACAACCTTTACAGCCTGTTAAAAAAGCTACATTAGAATTCTGCAGCGCCATAGAGTAATCTTATGCCCTTGTGCGTCCAATTTAATTCAGAGTAATTGTAATTTTTTTTAAAAAAACAACTTGATCCAAATGATCTTATGAGCTCTGATGCTGCAGTGAGTGCTTTTCTGGGCCATGAAGTACTTGGTAATAAAGTGATACACCACACACTCTGCTTTCAATCTGCTGTTTCTGAAGTTCACTTGGAAATGACCAAAGCGTTTCTCTCAACGGCCATTGGGTTTCACAAGAAGTTGGTTTGTGGAGCAGCGAATATTTCCCCTCCCCCATTAATGATGTGTTGCCGATTCTCATATTGTGGAGCCAGATATTACTCAGTAAATATGGTTATCTCAGCAGTTAGACTAATAATGAATTAGGTCAATTATTTAATTTGGGGCCAGATGTCTGCATTGATTCCTGAGTCTGGAGCTTGATGAAACAGGAAGGACATTTTAGTTAAAACCAAGTTGTCCAATTAATTAGTTATATTATCTTGAGTAAATCAGTGAAAGTCAGTTTGAATGCCAAGTTTAATTAGGAACATGGGAACACAGCAATCTACAGCACTGCAAAAGACTACTGCAGTCCATCTAATTGTCACAAATAAAAAAAAACAATAATTCTACACTCCCCTTCTCTCTTTCTCATAACCTCAATAACTCTAAACTCTTGTCCTCACTCTTTCTCTCTCTCTCTCTCTCTCTCACCCACTCATACCCTCCAAAACATGCCATCCTCTCATAGCGTCAATAGCTCAACACTATTCAGTTTAATTTTCATGCCCTCAATAACTCTACACAACTTACTCCCTCTTGCCTACCCTCACTAATTTGTATATATCCACCAGCAATTAAACAACATTTGACAACCTTGGATTTTGCTTTGAAATTATAATTGTCCCAACCAGAAATCACCCTAAAAAGGTTAAATTTCACCCCATCAAAGCATTCAGAAATAAATTCAAATAATTACCCATTTCTCGTCAGTAACAAACCAGTGCAGACATGTTTTAAACATTTTTAAGCAACCACACATGTGCATTTAGATGCAGATCCAACTAAAGATAAATTGCAACTAGGGTATGAAAATTGCCATTGTTTAGCCTGGTAGAGTCCAGTGGACTGACTATTGCATTACACTACATGGGATTTCTGTAACTAGATAAGAAGCATTATGAAGATAAGAATGGTTTGCTTTACTCAAAAATTATCTGAGCAACATTGAGTGAGCTTAAGCATTTCACAATCAGTAGAGTATTGCACATTTCAGGGAACTGCTATCCAGGCAATGGAAAAAAAAACATTAAGTTGAAACCTTAAGTAAATGTCCACCACACAAAGGATCGACAAGAGAAAAAAGTGACTGAAGGAATCAATTTGGTTCATTTGTGATTCGACCAGAGAAAGTGGCCATTCTGCATTTTAAGAGGGATATTTACAAGCTCAATCTAATCAAGTTCACTTCCAAAATCCCGAGTTACTTCCAACCTCCGCCATTTACAAGTCACTCCTTGGTAATGAATAGCACTTTTCATAAAAGGGCTATTCTACTGCACATGATCAGCTTCTGCAAAACCTGCATGGCTTCCAGTAATTTTATAGGCTACCAAAATCTAACCATTTAAAATGAATCAAGGTTATCACAGCGGAATTTCTCCCCCTAATATTTTACTGTGAATTCCTAAGGAACTCGTTCAAGTTCAAGTCAACCTGGCTCAGTGGTAGCACTCTCGCTTCTGGCAAGTCTAGAAAGAGTTGTATTAACCCATTGTTGAATTTCTGCTAGATAAGAAGCATTACAACAACAAAAAAAATTACATTTATAGAGCGCCTTTCACGTCGGGAAGACGACCTAAAGCGCTGAACAGTCAGGTATCGGGGCCCAAGCTTGGGGGAGGGGTGGTGTAGGGGTGAGGGAAGGCAGAGAGGTGGGAGGGAGACCAAAGGCACGGTCGAACAGAAGGGTTTTCAGACCGGCCTTGAAGGAGGCAAGGGACGAAGAGAGGCGAAGGGACCATGGGATGGAGTTCCAGAGTTGGGGGCAGAGAGGCTGAAAGCCCGGCCACCGATGGTACGGTGGGTAGGGCGGGAGACATGGAGCCGACCGGAGCCCGATGAATGGAGGGAGTGGGCAGGTTGGTAGGGAATCAGCAGGTCAGAGAGGTAGGAGGGGGCAAAGCCATGGATGGCCTTACAGGTGAGGACGAGGATCTTGAACTCGATCCTCTGGGGGATGGGGAGCCAATGGAGTCGGGCGAGGGTGGGAGTGATGGGTTCATGGAGCCTGGTGCCTGAGAGTACACGAGCTGCAGAGCTTTGGATGATCTGCAGCTTGTGAAGGGAACAGTTGGGAAAGGCCGATGAGGAGGGAGTTCCCGTAATCCAGCTTTGATGTGACAAATGCGTCGGTAAGGGTTTCGGCAGCCTGAGGGGTGAGGCAGTGGCGGAGTCTGGCAATGTTGCGGAGGTGGTGGTAGGCAGTGCCGGTCATGGCGCGGATGTGGGGGAGAAAGGACAGTTCAAGGTCAAACAGGATACCCAGGTTTCTGACTGGTTTAGTGAGGTTGAGTGTGCAGCCGTGGAGGCTGATGCTGCCTGCGCCTGAGCTGCGGAGACACTGGCGCGAACCAATTAGGAGAGCCTCAGTGGAGGAGGATTGAGTGGTCCACGGTGTCAAAGGCGGCAGAGAGGTCGAGGAAGACTAGGAAGCAGAGAGAGCCCTGGTCACACATGGTCAGGATGTCATTTGTGACCTTGACCGGAGCAGTTTCTGTGCTGTGGGCAGCACGGAAACCCAATTGGAGGGGTTCATGGAGGGAGTAAGAGGAGAGGAAAGAGCGAAGATTAGAAGATGAGAATGATTTGGTGTACTCAAAAAGAATCTGAGCAACATTCACTGAGTTTGTGCATTTAACAAATGGTAAAATGGCTTGATGTGGGGTCTGGGACTTGAACTCACATAGTCTAAGCTGACACTCCAATGCAGTGCTGGGGATGTGCTGCATAGTTAGAGGTGCCGTGCTTCGGATGAGACATTATAGCAAGGTCCTTTCTGCCTGTTCAGTGGATGTTAAGGATCCCATGGCACTATTCGAAAAAAAGGGAATTTCTCCTGGTGTCCTGGCCAACAATCCCCTAAATAAAATTGGTCATTTAGTTCACGGCTGTTTGTGGGACATTGCTGTGTACAAATTGGCTGCCGCATTCGCCTACAAATATACAGTCAATTCACTTTAGAGTCTATTCTGCCCTTTGAGATGTCTAGAAGTTGTGAAAAGCGCTAGATCAAATGCAAGGATTATTATTATTGTTTGAGCTTGCAAATTTAGGGACTCCACTTTACAGCATATTCTGTGAAGTGTTTTGAGATGTCTCGACGACGTCATGTAGTGCAAGGATTATTATTAAGTCGAATAGGCTATTCACTTAAAAGGCATTGACCATCTTGCCTGTCGAGTCACATGGAGTGATACAAATTACACGTCTCTGTCACTGGAATCTCATGTGGCACCGAACCAGGCCTTTGATACAATAGCAGTTTAAGCTCAAAACCTCCCACTCTCCCTGCTGTTATGTGAATGGCAGTAATGGCGGTGGTTGAGTTTCGAGTCAGCAGTGTGATTTGTCATGTTAGCATGAAAGGTAAAGGCTTCTGAATTCTGGGATCAGTGGCCAAACCCATAGTTAGAAGGTTCCATGCTGTCTGCACTTAGGACTATCATCATTTCTTGTGCTGCTCAATAAGTAGAGGAGCACACCACAAAGAGAGGGCTGGTAGACAAGATCACGAAGATCCACTGATACTGTCTTGTAATAGAAAATTTAGTTATTGCTAGTTCACTCTCAGGGATCACAAAATTAAATGCATCTGCCCTCCTTGGCGAGGGAACAACACACTAACATATGAGGGGGATTGACTAGAAGTAATTATTTGCAGAAATGAACAAAAAATGTTAAGGAAATGGTGACTGTGAACTTTGAAAATGTCAGTAATTGAAAATAAACTTTAGGAATAAAATATAATGTGAACACTGTAACAAGTGTAGATTAGGGCTCTAACAAAAGCAATATAGAGTGTGGCTTACAGTGCCATTACACTGCAAAAGGTACAGTTGGTGTAGGATTGGAATTGTGGCAGGGAAATTGGAAAGCAGAACTGATCTGAAATGGGAGATGCAAAACTAGTTTCCAACATTGAATTTTAGCAGAACAAAGCCTGGAGGCTTCATGGCTTCTTTGCAGCCTCTCTTTTGCTTCTCGAAAAAATGTATTTGTTGGAAAATTGCATGACCTTCAGATTTACGAACCCCATGCATAGCAACCAAACGAAAAAAATCACACTAAAACTTCCAATACTTTCACCTTTTTAAGTATTTAGAAATAATCTTCCAGGTCATCTAAATCTCTTGTATTCAGGACTAAGCACATGCACAAGCATGTTTATTTGATTATGAGGAATCTTTCAGAGTGCTGATTGACCACATTGTAGTGAAATTGGTGTTCGCTAATTCTATGGGAAGAGAGTAATAGAAATGTATGGAACGAGGCTACAATCACCCACAAAACATACAGTCAATTCACTTTATAGTATTTTCTGTGAAGTGCTTTGAGATGTCCCAACAACATGATAAGGAGATATATTAAATGCAAGGAATATTATACTAATAAATAATAACCCTTGCATTTGATATAGGGCTTTTCACGTCTTCTAGACGTCTCAAAGTGCTTCACAGAATATACTGTAAAGTGAATTGACTATATATTTGTGGCGAAATGCGGCAGCCAATTGCACCCACAATTACTCTGTATAGGATGCATTCCAATATGTTAACGTACATGAAGGGCACTATATAAATGCAAGTTTTTGTTGTTGTTGTTGCATCCCATTCTTAAATACTTTTGCGCCCTAAATAGAAAATCTACAGTGAACGTATGATTGGATATTAAAATATCAAACAGACTACTTTCTTCTGGCCGATAAAATAATCAATGTTGTATTTCCTCCATTATCTGTTTACTGGCAAAGGTTGCTGCCTTTAACAACCATTGAAATTTCATCTATCCTCCAAACCCTTGACCCTCACTTCCCCCACGAAATTCTGCTGTATATAAATGTGTCTTTTGAAGTAAGGAATCCAGTCACAGGTTTCACTGAGCTAATAAAATTATGGTTCTCTGTGAATGACTCCACAACATGCACTCATGCCGTACTTGTGCTGTACAGTCATTCCACTTTTGCGTGCAGTTAGTGGTTGTGGTAATTCACATATTCTTTCATTGAGAAAGGGCTAATTGAAGGAAACAATGAGAGTTAAACAAACCAGCACATCTGCAATTCCAAATGGACTCGATTTCCTTGCAGGGATTGGAACTGCAAGTACAGGGTATGCAGAACATCAGTGTCTCAGAACAGTGCAGTTACCAGTATATCGTGTCTCTGGAATCAGGTTAACTTGCAAATATTAACACTTCTCATTTGACAGAGAACGCAGCCTTGTTTTTACAGTGGTTAACTGACAGCACAATTCTCTGCTACGTGTTCTCAATAACGTGATGCTGGGATATGGAGAAAGCCAGCTGGTAAAGCTGTATTTTTTTTCTCCATGTGTCCTGACTTCCTCCTTCTGGTATGTATGCTAAGTTAGGGGCCAGGCTTCCTGTATAAACAATCCATAGGTAGAATACTTTATCCAGAGTGTGTGCTTATAGCACAATGTCCCCATGCATCAGCCTGCCTCTGTTGGTACTACTCACGCCTCTTGTGTCAGAAGATTGTGCGTTCAAGCCCCATGTCAGGACTTTCAATTCACATAGCCTCAGCTGACACTCCAGTGCAGTGCTGTATATGTGTTGATTGTCAGAAGTGTCATCTTTCATCGTTCACTTTACTGTGGTGGGACATTACTGAGCGCGCATGGCTGCCACCTTCATCGACACAATCACTACACTTTACAGTATATTCTGCAATGCACTTTCATGAAAGGTTCTATGTCAGATGTAAGGATTATTATTAACAGATAAGAATATGTAACAGCAAATGCTCTGGATGCAATGTCCAACTTGAGACATTATTTAAATGGGATATTTGGCTATTGCTCACTGCTGTATATAAATGTGTTGGCACAGCATAATCCACAATTACAACATGCAAAGTACAGTGCTGATTTGTCTTCGGATCCTTGGAAGACTGGTATAGTGCAGAACACCAACTGCGCTAAGCACTATATAAATGCAAATTGTATTGTAAAAATGCTAAATTTAAAGAGGCTCCATTGTGGAATCCTGTAGCTCAGTGCTTAGAGCACTCGCCCTGCAAGTAAGAGACCTAGGTTTGATTCCCAGCAGGGCGAAACCTTGGGCAAGTTTCCTTAGTGATAATAATCCTTCAAGAAAAAAATAATAAATTGGTCACTTCAATCCACGACTGTTTGTGGGACACTGCTGTGCACAATTGACTGCCGCGTTTTGCAAATATACAGTCAATTCACTTTACAGTATATTCTGCGAAGCTCTTTGAGACGTCTAGAAGATGTGAAAAGCGCTATATCAAATGCAAGGATTATTATCATCATTGAAAAGTGTTATGCAAGCTCTGCATTTATTAAAAACATCAACATCCTTCACATAGGATAACTTTTCAAAGCCCTTTACAACGGCAGTTCACAGCGCAAAATGATGTGAACAGTACTGAAATGCATCACTGTGTCTATTGAATCCGCTTTCCTCAATGACCGATCAAAAAAAATAGCCTCCTTCCCCATAATAATAATAATAATAATGACATCATGAAAAGTTTTAGCGACCAAATGACAATAGGTCCTGAGCTAAGGAATTTTGTCTTCTGGTTCATCTCCCTTGCCAAACACTGAAAGGTCTACCAAATGCTTTTTCATGAAAACATTGCCTCTTTAAACAGGAACTGCTGCAGCGAATCAAACACTAAAACTGGCAGAAGTGGCGTACTGCTTAGCAAAGCTGTCATACAGTCCAGCAGTCACTATCAATGTGTTTTGTTACACAAAAACATATCCGAGCTCTATGGACAGTTTCTAACTTGTACAATTTGACAGATTGAAATCGCTCCATTGATTGCCTGATACCTTGGGAAACATCCCATGCTTGCGGGTAACAGTGTGAGCGCTGGATATGTTCCGCTGCTTATGCTGTGTACTGTGTTTGCCACATTGCCTCTTCGCAGCCGCCAATCTCTGGCAGAGCCGGCCTTTTCTTTTCTCTCTCTCTCTCTCTCTCTCTGAAATATGAACCATTTTGAAGAAGCGTGTCAGAAGTCAGATTTCATTTCATGTGAATGGTGCATTTTGTGTTTTTGTTCATCAGACAAGCTGGCCTGAATGAAGCAGCTGAGAAACATTATGGATTGGCAGCAGGACTGCGACCTAATGTAAGTAGCAGTTACCACCGTAAAAGCAGGAGTGCTTTGCAACAGTGTACAATTAAATACAATCATATTCCACCACTGAAAGTTTCCTTTTCACAGTTCCCCACAAATTCAGTAGGGTACAAATCTGCGGGGAGTTAGCATATATACCCTGGCCTAGATTTATTCTCTTTTCTTAGCATTTCCTTGTGTCCAGAATTTAGAAAATACTTAAAACGCAGTCTCAATTTTGAGCCCGGTTTTCTGTGTCTTCTTTTGAGAACTGTGGGAAAATTAGTTTAAAGTAAAGATTCAATTCACCTATTCTGGATGCTCAAAAATTTAACTTTAACAGAGGAAATCTAGAACCAGGTAGAATTTCTTTCCCCATTTGACATGGAACCCAAAGTAGCACTTGGAAAATGTCCTGCACTAATGGCAACTGCAGCTCAAAGAGGCAATATTTACACAGGGTGGATCAATAGTTAAACAACTCATGGAGTGTTTGTGATAGTGAAATTTGTGGTTAAAGGTTTCAATTTAATGCACTTTAAAGCAAAAGAGTTTTGTTATCGTTCATTTAACACGTTGTAGTAGAAATGACAAGGGAAAAAACTTGGTAAAGATGCATTTTGTAGTTATGCACTTAAGTGAAGTGAATGGTCCTGTACTATTCAGTCAATTCATTCTTCATGATTTGGTCCTGGATAAAAGTCATTTCATACACCAGGAGGCATTTAACCTTTGCAAACTCAGCTCCCTTTTATGCCTTATTTATACTGCTAGGAATGAGATTACTTCCAGCAGCTGAACAATTCGTAGCTGAAAGGCTGATTTATACTTTCCGCTCCTCATCGCATCGGTCAGGGGCTGTTAAAAGAAATCTATGACCCGATTTCCGAAGTGGGACACTGGGTTTAAATATCGTTAAAATGCTGGACCCTTGACTCGTTCTTAATATTAAAATGGTCCCTTGAAAGTACTTTGATTGAACATTGGAAAGTAGAGCAGAGCCATTATTGATTCACACCACTGCTTTTACCCACAACCAGCAGGTGGTTCCAATAGCACCTCGACTACTCAGCAACAGGGCTCCAGCAGTATTTCTATGGACCCAACCCTTCCGATCTAATCGCACAATGTGAACTTGTTGTTCAGGATAGGTGTCAACCTAGCTCAGTTGGTAACACTCGCACTTCTGTGTCAAAACATTATGGGTTCAAGCCACACTTTGGGGCTTTGAGCTCACGGTCTTGGCTGACACTTCAGTGCTAGATGTGCTGTCCTTCAGATGAGACATTAAACCGAGGCCCCACCTGCTGTTCAGATGGACGTTAACGATCGCATTTCATTATTCAGAAAGAGAAGTAAGTTACTCCCAGTGTCCTGGCCAATGATCCCCCTAATAAAATGGATCATTTACTTCATGGCTGTTTGTGGGTCACTGCTGTGCGCAAATTAGCTGCCGAGTTTGCCTACAATAAAAAATACAGCAATTGCAAGGAATCCTGTGAACTGCTATGAGATAGATCTGTTACTGACCTGAAATGTGCTGTATTAAATCAAGTGTTATTATTAACACAGCATTAGGCACAATCTACTAGAGGTGAATTAAAATAAGAGAATACTCTACAAAGAATCTGTTCTGATGTGAGTCATAAAAACTGCACAAAATTCATTGTATTATAGAGAGGTATGTAATTTCGAGATCAAAATTTCACGTGAAAAGAAGTGTCTTTACACGTCACCATTTGACTGAATTAAAATCAACACAAAAAATAAAAACAAATAGAAATTTTGTAATCTGGTTTCGATTAAAGTGTCTATTATTGCAAAAAGAAAATAACTACAGAGAACAAACAAAAAATAAATCTTGGAACAATTAATCAAGCACCACAAACACGCAAGCCGCTGAATCGCTCCTTGTTAATGATCAGAAGTGCCACAAAGCCTGGTTATGGAGCCCCTAAGACTGATTAGATCCAATTCTCTGCGAGCTCTTTAATGCTGACTGGGGAATTCAACATCCAAACGCAAACCAATACAAGATTCCAGTTTCCAATTTCCAGTGAATTAACTAGAAATAAACCCAGCGGGTAGCTCCTGCTGCTCTGCATTCCATTTATACTTGTTTTGTGGCCAGTGATACAGATTAAGATGGCTTGAATTTATCTTCTATTTTTTTTTACATTTAACCCCTTCTCTTGCTAAAAAGCAAGAATGTCATGAGAATTTGGAGGGAATGCTGTACAAATTGGTTATATTACAACATATTTATTATTCAATCAGTCAAATCATTATGATTCTCAAATCAGATATCTTTCTTTTCCTTACCCTCTAGTTTTGGTCCAGAAGCCCAGTGCCTCTCTGCCATTGCTAGTTTGGTTGATATAAATGCCCCTTATTTGGATATCTCCCAAGTTTTATTATCCAAGTGTCAGTGGTGTTCTCACCCACACAGGGATGGAACGAGCGCACATTCCTCCCCAAATCATCTGGCTAGAATTGGTCTTTTACTGGAGATCAAAAAGAAATGAGGATCAGAACTGGATAGGATTCAGATCTCCTGGTCAGGAGCTCATCACATCACCCTCCTCTTGCTGATACCAGTTAGAGGTGACAGAAATCCTTTACAACAACAACAAAATTAAATTTATAGCGTGCCTTTCATGTCAGGAGGACATCCCAAAGTGCTATTATTTTGTTGCATTTGATATAGAGCCTTATCGCGTCTTCGAGACGTCTCAAAGCGCTTCACAGAATATACTGTAAAGTGAATTGACTGTATACGTTGTGGGCAAATTAATTAAATACAATATAATAAGAATCAAAGGATTCATGCTAGGAAATAGTTATGGAGGGAACAGGGATGGAGAAATATTTTGAGTCTTACGGGGGGAGAAGGAAATTTCAATAAAGAACTTTGCCCAGGATTTTCTGCATTCTGTCTCATATGCAAATCTTGCCTAGCAGGGATGGCTTTGGGGTGAAAATATGGTGCCTGAAAGAAGCAAGCATGAAGGGCTGACAAGCCTTTTCTCATTCCACACTTCCTGTGCTACCCCACATGAAGGATGCTACATAAATATAAGTTGTTGTTGTTGTGCTCTTAAATATATAATAGTTTGTCAGCTTGTGTGAGTGCCTTTTAAAATATAACAAACTGGCTGCACTGGGCAGTAGCTGAAGTTATACTGTGGTGAATGAATTTTCAATGAATTATACAGAAATCCCAGAGCTTGGCATTACCGGTCTGTAATTGGTGCAGTGAAATGACAGCACCACACTGACAACAAGCCCTCAATATCACTGGGCAGCTAATGCGTCTCTCTTTCCTGGAACCGAGAAAAGCGATACAGGAAGCACTTCATTGCCTTTCCTCTGTGGCCTTTCATGTAACTGGTTCTCTCCGAACACTCGTTTACTTGGCCTCGCACAGCTCACATGATTCTGAACAGCTGTGCACTCTACATCTGCTTGCATTGCTCGCTTGTCTGCCCCTAAAAGGGAGCACTTTGAAGTTTTCTGTCTGAAACTTATTAAACAAAAGTTAAACGCTTGTTACTTTCATTTCGGTGGCTGTGCCGAACTCTGTACTTAAGAAATACATGCCCTCAGTCCCTTCAATGCCACAACCTGCATAGTGTGCATTCTTAATAGGAAGCCAGGTTACTTGTGCTTTTCAGCATTTGTCAAACTTCATGTCTTTCTCATTAGAACGATGTGGGAACTAGATTGTTTTTTAATACTGTAAAATGTTTTCCTCTAATGTCATTCCCTGCAAGCAAACAATCTCAAGATACTGGATTAGAGTTACACCTCCAGGTAATTAGAAAAGACCTATGACCATAGTTTGTAAATCTCTGTGGCCAGCAGAGCTTTGCTGGCTGCAATCAGAATAATGGCATTCAAATTTGTCCAATGATATATAGTTTGTAGCAGCAGCAATGCCAGACATGGCGTTCTGTGTCTGTCAGAGCAACAACTATATTGGCTTTTGGCGCGTCTTGTTTTGAGAGGGCCTGGGATTGTCAGTGGAACGTGCCATGTGCCATGAAGGGAAATTCAAACCCTGTGATTAAAATCCTTCCTATGAGGGATTTAAGCAATTTGACCACCCAGAACCAAGGTTGGCCAAAACTGAACAACATGTGGCTGCCAACGAGCAGCTGGCAGGGATTTTACAGTCCCCACATTTACACTGAATGCAACTTAATACTCTTATAATAGTTTTGGTTGCTCAATGGCATCAATTCAAAGAAAATCAGCTCATCCAGCCAGCCACTCTCATATCTCTGTCTCCAAAAATCAATCATGACGCCCCTTAATAAATCTCGGTATTTTAACCCAAGGTATGATTTGACAGAACTGGATTATAATAACTTCTATTGAGCATTGGCATGGAACTCAGGCCTTTATCTCCCCCCACATCCCTTATGACCCTCCTGCTTCTGTCAGTTTCTCAACACATACAAAAACTGTTATTAAATTGCCAATGGTTTGGCAATACATGGATTTGGAATGTGCTTATTAGGCCCTGTGATTATTGCATTTGAGCATTGTTGTTTGACAGATGATTAATTCACTTCACTGGGAATTCGAAGTTTTGTAAAGTTGACAGTCTGTAATCCAGACAAGGTTCCCTTGGCCCACTGTTTAGCTCATTGATATAAAGCCTTCCATCTACTGCAGGAAATGAAGGAAGGCCTTTGATCACTTGACCAGTGAAGCTGTAGGTGGTGTAATTTTTTACAGCAGTCTAGAAGTGGTGCATTATTGAACTCCAGCACTAATGACTGTCTTTATTTATGCAGTGAAAACATTTCATCAGCTGTATTCAATAAAAGACAATATGTTCAGGAAAGCTCACCATCGCACATTCATTAACCATCACAGTGCCCATTAATTATGTGACCCACAAAGCACACAGGCATAATGAAATTGTTCATATCCCAAAGCAAATGCGATGGGGGGTAGGAGATGCTTTACAAAGAAATAAATTGAGTGGCACAATAAAGGCTTTGGGGATTATATGCAAGGAGGAATCTTATACAAGTCATTTCTGGCACCAAGGGGTCTAAAACGCGATGGTTTATTGATAAGCAGTCCGACTCTGCAGTAGGGAATCCTTCAAATAACTGGAAGCACAGGCCTCCTTACATTCTGCTTTGATGCTAATCTACTTTTGGACTGGTGCTCACACAGCACAATTGCAAAAGATGTTGGACAAGTTGCTACACGAGAGACTCCTTCACAAACTGATGTCACTGGGTATCAGTAACAACAATTTGCCTTTATATAGCGACATTGGGACAACATCTGTAGGCATGTAACTCCATGCCTACATGGAGGCATGGATGAACTCCAGTGTTAGAGGATTGACTGAAAATGACAGACAATTGGTCAAGTTAGTTGAAAGAACACATCTCAGAGTGGACCTTATACAGGTAAATAAGATTTTAAATTGGATTGAGAAAGTAACCCAAAACAATATCAGCAGGTATACCAGAGCATCAGAATAAGAGGGACATAGGTTCAGTTTTACACAAATGAGTTTCAGGACAGACATCAGGAAGTAGTTAGTTTCCTGGAGGATAATTAATGACTGGAACAGGTTACCCAGGAAGTGTGGTTCAGGCCAGGATACTGGACTCATTTAAGAAACAGCTTGTTGTTGTGTTGGGAGTTTCAGGTCCCTTGAAAGAATCTCTACTTAGTCTTCATTCAAAAATCCCATTTAAACTCACTGCTTCTTACCCTCCCCCCACCCCCCCATATGTGTCTTTTTGATGTTTTTCATTACTCACAGAGGATGCATAAAAGCTGTATGTGACAGTCTTATTGGGAAGAAGAGTGAAAGTTGATTTGAGAGCTCCAAAAATAATGCATTTGAAAAGCTGAGAAGTGATCACCAAAGGCCACGGGAGGCCCTTCACCAACAAGATCAAAACTTTTTTAAAAAAGTTAAAACGTATTTCCAACTCCCAAAACAAAAAAAGATGGTCCGGCCAGAGGCATCATCAGTTGTATACAACAACAATATAGTGCCCTGCATGCAGGGTAGCATACTGGATCGCTTGACAGTAGTGGAGTCTGACCCTGAGCCAGGGGGAGAGGAAGGGGGAGGTGACCGTAAGCACGATCAAAAAGGAAGGTCTTTAGGTGGGATTTCAAAGTGGGGAGGAAGGGGGCAAGAGCTTTGGGGCATAGTGGCTGAAAGCACGACCACTGATGGTGGAGCGAGGGGGCGAGGGACGAACACGCAGGTATGATTACTGGCAATGTGTGAGCGCATGTTTATTGGGGACTGGTGCTTATTAAAAATAATCAAGGTTAGACATTTGATGGAGTTGTTGACTCATCCCCTCTGGGATTAACCTTCTGAAGAACACACAAAAATATTGTTATAAATTAAAGGTCGGAAATGATTATGTTTGGGAAAGTTCAGTGGAAAACAATGAGTCATCTTCACAGATGATTTCTGTGTGTAACAATACTGACCTTTAACACATCAGCAATATTAAAAAAAAACCTTGAAGATGTTTTTCTGGATCAGATTCAATGTTTGCTTTGGGTGAATAACAACTTTGGGGCTTTGACTGTGTGAGGGATTGATTTATAAGAGAAGCAGTTTGATTTGTGCCTCTTGCCTGCAGTCAGGGTTCAGTGGCTGCCTCTGGTTTCACACTCACCCTTTACTCTTGATCTTGACAGTATCCCGCAGCTCTGATGAACCTGGGAGCCATCCTTCATCTGAATGGGAAGCTGCACCAGGCTGAGGCAAATTATCTCCGAGCTCTCCAGCTCAAGCCCGACGACAGCATTACCCAGTCCAACCTCCGCAAACTGTGGAACATCATGGAGAAGCAAGGCTTGAGCGTGCAAAAGAACAGAAACGGAAAAACGTAAGCCAGACGGGGCTTATGGTGTTAAACTACAAGGAATCAGAAAAGGCCTAGCTTCAGACAGAGCCAGTCTTCCCTTGGGCTTGCTGAGCCAGCGGGCCATCAGAGCACTTAAGCAGATTAATGAATAATTGATGCTTGTTGGCTGAAGACAAACACATAGACAAGTTTATTTTTTAAATTTCGAGCACTTAAGCCTCAAAGCTCTCTAACACACATGGCCACAGCTTTCCTTATCTGCTGAAAGGCCTAACCGTCAACTGCAAGCGTCTGAGCTATGCTGCTGCAAATTACTGTTTGCAGACAAATTGCAGACAAGTTGCAGAACACTAGGTTTTAGCAAATTAGCAACAACTTTGTGAATTGGGACCACGTACCTGTCAGGATATGAAGCTCATATAGGAAGGCAATGTTGAGTTACGGTTTGAGGCTCAAGGTCAAGTATTTGTTTGTTAAGAATGTCCCACATCCACACGGGTTCCTTTAGTGCTAGACAGTGCTCTGTATGGTCCTGGAATATCATATGTAGTAGTGCAAAACATCTTGTGTGATTTTTATGGTCTAGAAGGTGTCGGTGATGTTCTCTGACTGAGGAAAATGTACGTCTCTGCCATTGAAAAGGAATAAGAATGAAATATTGCACCTCCTTATATAGCAACAGCAGAACTACCATTTTTTGAAAGTTTAACAAAACGGATCTTTGTTAGCATTTTTAGGAGGGGAGGGGGAGAAAATGAATTTACTAGCTACGTTTGGTCTAATGCTTTTTATTGTTGTTGGTTTGTTTACAATGCAATAGATCTCACGAGTGAGTGGTCGAATACATTCCGGCTCTGTATCAATTTTTTTTGTGCGATGGTTAAGTCGCTACATAAAGACATTGTTTCACATTTGTACTTCACTCGCACAAATCAAACAGCAGGGAATTTTTTCTTCTTCTTTGCGTGAATGTGGCAGAAATGACTAATGCTCTGTCTTTGTTGCCATTGTGTTGTAGCAATGATTCATTTGTGGGTCGGTCCGAGAGGAAGAGGGAAAGTTAAGCATTGGCTAGTGGGGGGAGGGGAGGTGGTAGAATAAGGGAAGAATAAGCAGGTGCTCCCCTACTTTCCCTATGCCTGGCCAATCCTTTTGGCTTCTGAATAATGCTGATAAGTATTACATGTGTGTTGCTGCTCAGGGATTTCATACAGCGTGTTCTAGACGGTGCTAAAGAGCACTAAGCGTGTTTACTAAATTAAAAATTTTATTTTTGAAATTGTTGTATTTGTATAAATTATCCAAATTTGTAGATTTGTTTCCTTTTGTAAAGATGACTGTGATAATAGTAATTCACAGGCTTTCCCCAATAAATACATTTTAAAAATAAAAAAAGCAGTCATTACACAGGCTCCTGCACGTGTGGTGCTTTCTCATTAAAGCCTCGATGCAGAATGCACAGAACTGGGTCTCGGAATTACAGCTGTGAAATAAGATTCAGCGCTTTATAGAAGAGGCGGCGTGAATAAATTGAAGCTGTACAGCCATTAGAGCACATCTTTCAGCAAGCATGCTCTTGTAAGCAGGGCTTCGCTGTTAGGATGGATGGCATTCAGACAAGTTCTGGGCCAGTAATAAACTGCATTCATGCAAGACCAGTTTTGTGTCAGCAGAAGCATCAAACTTAATACTTTTAGAAAGCAGAAAAGAACACATATAATACATGCATTTGCTGACGCTAAATGCATGGCTGATCTCCCTCTGGCTCCTATGGTCACCTCCCCCTCCCACCTTCTCCCTTGCTCAGCATTCAACCCCTCCACTGTATAGCGCTCCCGAGAAGCTATCTAGGTGCAGGATGCTCTGTAAAAACAAGGTGCTTTAATAAAAGAAACATTTCAGTGACTGAGCCTCAGGTCTCTGTCACTCAACACTTTGTTAGTCATAAATCATGAGAAGAATAAAATAATAATCCTTGCATTTGGTATAATAACTTTCACATTGAGAGGACATCCCAAAGTGCTTGTCGGAACAAGGGAGGTGGGGTTAGGTTGAGTGGACTCACTGCTGTCCATGTGGCCAGAATTCTAACCTCACTATTATATTCAGCATAGGTATACTCCAGCACTGTAGACTAAGGCAAGGAAAGCAATGCTAGAAAAAATATCCACCAGATAATATACAATATACAATATACATCTGCTGAAAAGTACACCAAAAGTCGTCATCTGTGGATACTTTGGGAAATTTTTTAAAGCAATTTTTATTTTTAAAGGAATTTCACTTCTATAAGTGATGGTCCACAGATGTCTTCCCATCTGCTAAACCAACACTACAAAGTGGTTCAATGGTAATATTAATTAACTAACGTGTGTAAAATTCCCTAATGAATTAAGGATACTGTTATTGCCAATTCATCTAGGATTCATAGTAAATCCTACTAATGGATCACATGCTGCTGCATAAACATGGTCAAATTTAACTGATTTCATCGCGACTGGGTGACCTAAATATATAATGCATTTATCTTGTAATAATAATAATAATAATAATCCTTGCATTTGATATAGCGCTTTTCACGTCGGGAGGACGTCCCAAAGCGCTTCACAGACACACTGTAAAGTGAATTGACTGTATATTTGTGGGCGAACGCGGCAGCCAATTGCGCACAGCAATGTCCCACAAACAGTCATGGATTGAAAATGACCAATTTATTATTGTTTTGTTTTTTTGGAGGGATTATTATTAGGCGTGTGGAGTAAGGAAACTTGCCCAAGGTTTCGCCCTGCTTGGAATTGAACTCAGGTCTCTCACTTGCAAAGCGAGTGCTCTAACCACTGAGCTACAGGACTCCACGACAACATTATATGCATTTTCTTATGTAGTTGTTTCCAGTTTGTAACAAACAGAGATGACAAGTTCAATCTGTCTTTCCTCTACAGAAGGGAAATAATTTTGTTATGGGAGCAAGGGTGGGAGAGAAAGGAATGAAGCCTAATGTGACTCAAATAAAATGACAAGTTTTGATATATTTTCATATATCAAAGCAAAGATTATTATTAAGATTACTATTATTATTAAATGACATATCTCATTACAGTTGATTCAGTAATGGTGTAAAGCCAGTTTCCACCACTTCACTTGTCTCCAATGTTTTTGAACCCCTTGTTCATGCACATTTCTTCACATGTGCCTTGCACCATAATGACCCTAACAGAAATAATAAAAAAAATTCTCACCTGGGATCATCATCTGCATTTCTGAAAAAGCACAATGTCTACATTCACATTGCTAAGTTCTGTGACTTCCTGAAAATGACGCATGAAATTTTTAAACGCTTAGGGATGGCCTTCTGGGTGCTATATAAATGTAAATGAGAGTGTATTGTAACAAGTCTAACTCCCATTCCATTTTATAGGGTTTTCTGCAATGCTATCTATCAGCAATCCTTGCCAACAATTCCCCAAATAAAACTGAACATTCACTTCATCATTTGTAGGACATTGATGTGTGCAAAATTGGCAGCAAAATAGTTCACCTATGAATACACGGTGATTACCCTTTACAGTAAATCCTATGATGCACAATAATAATAATAATCCTTGCATCCGATATTGCACCATATCGCGTGATCAAGCCCTCTGTATATTTTATGGGTTTGACAATACGATAAGACACAGATCATATTATTACTATAAAATGTCTTTTTAACCCCATTCAATAACTGAAAAAACACACAATTTGTAAATCCTAAAGAAACTGAGAACTGGAAGGATTAATTCTCAGTTGTATTTCCTACCACTTTAAGTGTTGTCACTGAGTTTTCCACTCCCAGTGTTTTCTCTGTTTACCTAGGAGTAAATAGGCACCCGGATGTTAGTTGATTGGTGGATTGCTTTACCGGGGGTATAAATCCCTTTTTAAAAATTGGTTACTCAATCCATGACTGTTTGTGGGATACTGCTGTGCACAATGGGCTTCCACATTTTGCCCACAAAATATACAGTCAATTCACTTTACAGTATATTCTGTGAAGCACTTTGAGACGTCTCAAAGACATGATAAGGCGCTATATCAAATGCAAGGATTATTATCGTATTATTACTATTGTTTAGTACACGGCTTCCTTGATGCCTCCTCATCTCTACTTTCTCTAGGTTATTTCCTTTTACGCCTTTTATGACCCAATTCATGGAGATTGTGGTTTCACCTATCATCACTTGATGAAACAGCAAAGCTGAACTGAAGCTTGATTAACCATTTTACACCAATTATTATTATATTATAATTAATCTCCTGAACTTCCCTTATTTTATTAACTGGACATGAATGGGTCAAGATCATTTCAAAAGGGTTCAGCACAGTGCTTGGTTTATTTTAGAAGGTTCATTTTAAAGTTCTTCTACTGCTTTGTACCCTGGACTGTGGGATCAAGAATTTTATATTATTTTCATTCATGTGGAGCAGTATAGCAAAAACTGGTGTGTTTTTTTCTTCTGTTTGGATAATGTCCAAAATTCTTGCTCATTGCTTTTTCTGTCTTCTTGGGCTATTTTTGTTGTTTATGGTTGTGTCGTTATGTAAGTAAGTGCTGGGATCGCTGCATACATTTTACATTAACACAAATAACACATGTAACACATGGTTCCTCAGGTTTGAAATTCGGACCATTGAACATGTTCAAGATGGCGATTCCATGACAAGATCAAATAATAGGCCATTCTACTGCCTGCTGGTATCAATTCAATGCAGTGCTTATAATAAAGTGCTGCGAGATGATGCCAATTCAGTTTTTATTATTAAAGAGCTGGAGTACCGCTGGATCTCTGATAACTTTGAAATAACTTAATTAATCTTTTTGGGAATAGCTCGTGATCTTTCAACATTAATTTGTGAGTTTCATTTGTTGGCTTTACATTGGCAGACGACAGACCAGAGTTGTTTAACAGACGACACAAAGTGAATCAAAGTGAGACAACTTCCCCTGAATAGGATTTGCAGCTCCAGACCCTGGAATTATAGCAATGTGGGCTGTGTCCATTCAACACAGGAAGTGCATCAAATCAACCCAAACCGTGTAGTGCAACGGCATTATTTTTGTTTTTTTTCATCAATAAACATGACAGCATAAGCTCTCTAACCACATGTCGCATATTTCATTAACTAACAGTTTCTGCTATCCTGCAGTAATTTACATTGAATGTCGCAGAGTCTTGCTGTTAAATATATAAGCAATGAAATAGGAAAAGGCGACTGGAGAACACATTATGTTTATTTAGTAAGTTGATTAGTGTACTTTGGACACCAGCAATTCTCCTGTTTCCTGCCATAGAGCTGGTGCCAGGAAGTCCTGTCACCATAAGATACCATCAGGTGTTGTGGATTTATGGCCTTTCACTCCCTGTGGGATAATGCTGATCGAACAGTATAGACTTTGGAATTTATGGATTCAGCACTTCTTTATTTCTCCATTGGTCTATCTTCCAAAACTTTTTAAACCATCAATGCTGGGGTTTGTTTGGTTAGCAGAACAAATGTTATTGGAATATTTTTCTGCTCAGGCAAAAAGTTAGCTAATAGTTGTCGATGTCTCTTTGAACAAATATGTATATATGCATGAGGTCCAGCCCATTATGAGCCCTATTTTGAACTTGATTTATATGTGTGGTGTTAATTATACTGGTTCCTGGTGAACTGGTTGAAACCATTGGAGCCAGACTGAGGCGCAGTTGAAATGTTCATAGGCTCCAAGAGAAAGAGAGAGAATTTTCAATTGGTCCCATGCTAGCAGTATCTTAATCCAAGGGGATCCTCTTATTTTCAGACTCGTGGCTATCCAGCAGAAACGCTCTAATGTTTTGAATAATTCTACTTCGTTATAACCAAACAAGCAGAAACAGGTTTTTTTTAAAAAAAACAACTTAAATCATCACCCAGAGCAAAAATTGGTCAGTTCCTTGGATGGCAGAGCGGCGGCTTGAAGTGGGGGTGATAGGTATTTGGGGGAAGGAAATAATTAATTAGAATATTAAGTGATCAAGTAATGCCTCTGGAAACTCCCTGTGTATGGATGTTGAGAACAAAATCTTTCTATATTTCAAAGTTACCTGTTAAGATTAATTTCCAGCAAGAAGAGAATCTGCTGACCTATAAAAGTCTCTCTCTGGCACATTGTGTTGTGATCGTGGGCAAGTTTTGCCATTCTCCAAGATACTCCGATTCCCGGTTGGTGAGGCCACTTTTTCTCCAGTTACATTAAACAGCGCTGTGGTATATGTCATGTGCTCATCAGGAGTCCCCTGCCCGAATTTAATTTCACAGTTAAATTCACCATCGTAACACTGTATTAAAACGATTGGTTTTAAGAACAAATACAACTTGCACTTCTTTTAAAAATGCCTTTCA